GCAGTAAGAGGAAATATTAACAGTAAAATTGAGAGTTACAAAATTAAAGTTATTTTCTTTCTGATTTTATATGTATTTCTAAGTCATGTACAAGGAATGTGTCTTATATAACACACATAAAAGTTACTAAAAAGAAAAGAGACTATTACATTGGAAGAACAAGTGGCTATTTCATTTGTGAAATAGGTTACATTAAGGCCTGTACACATGTGGGTGCTTTTTCTTTAAACTATTCCAGAAGGCCAGTGGAATCTAATTTGAAACACCAAATGTTTAATAATCTATTTGGCCTAAAGAAACAATGGAAAGGGCCTCCCCTGGTGGTGCAGAGGTTGAGCACTGGGTTGCGAAGCTGCCTGCAGCCTCTGCAGCGCCAGTTCGATCCCTGGCTGCTGGTGAGGGTCCCACATGGCGCGCAGACCTCTCCTGCCACCCGCTGCTCCCCTCAGCAGTGTATTTCTTCATCAGTCTGCCTGTTCTGTTCCCAGGTCTGGCTCTAGTGAATTCTCTCACCCTCGGGCGCTTCTGACTGTACCCAGTGCTTGTATAAATAAATAAATAAATATATCTTAAAAAAAAAAAAAGAAACAATGCAAAGTTACAAATATGTATTCAGCTCCAAGCTAACACTGTTTGCTCTAAGCACTGACCTGGAATCTTAGAGTAGAGAAGAGCAGAGCCATATACAGTTACATCTTTTCAAGGAAATGAGACAAAACATCTATAATTCTATACATTATTCAACTATTATGTCAGTAGTTGATTACGAATGTATCTCCTTTTTAAGTGATGAAGGTGTTTGTTGTCTTAGTAGCTGAGGGGCTGAAGAATATAGAAAAAGAGTCCAGGAAAGGATGGTTTCTGGGAAGTGTCTGGCTCATATTTTTCCTAAAGAATGTGACTTATTGGCTGAAATAGTCAAAGTTGAGAGTTGGAGTATAAAACTATGACTTTATTAAGTAATACTGACTGTAGTTAGGAAATGTTTGTTTTAAGATGCTATAAAAATATACCACAGTGCTTGAATTTAAGACAGGATTAAAACAGGTTATGAATCAAACAGACTCCTATGTGAGCTGCCATTGCCAGAAGGCCAGTGGAATCTAATTTGAAATACCAATGTTTAATATTCTATTGCATATTTATACAGTGCTTATGCCATGCTTATTCTCTCCTAGAATACTCTGTGAGGATGGGGGAAGCAGGAACAGTAGAAGCAAGCTAGTTTTAAGCCACTTCACTACTCAAGGCATCATGTAATCACTCAATCTGGAAGGGTGATGCTCAGTCCATTACTGGAATCTTCTAGAATTGCTGCTGTGGTACAGTTTAAGGGTTCTCTGCTTTATTTGAGTTTCCAAGAGAAAATTCTAAGATTGACTTTACTGGGACCATGACTCATTTTTCCTGTTCATATGTTGGCTGCAAATGAGTAAGTACTCTCGTTGAGTTTTATTTATTATTATTAGACTAACGATGGAAAAGTTATCCTTCAACCACCTCAGCTACTAAGACAACAAACACCTTCATCGCTTAAAAAGGACACACATTCATATTCAACTACCGAAAGCAGTAGTAGTATTTAGTTTGGTATCTGTGTTGATGTTAAGAAGGGATGACAGCTTTGAAAGTCAGATAACATTTTCAAAAGGATAGTTCTTTAACCCTAGGCTTTAGTGCAGCAAATATTCAGAAGTTCTTTTTTAGAGGTTGTTTTTCAACTGACCTGTGCTTGAATCTTTTTTAAAATTTAAAAACCTTTATATGAAGTCTATCTCTAACAATTATAAATTCCTTATCTTCATTATATAATCAATGAATTTGTGTAAGTAAATTGTTAGCATTAGATTTCTACTTCAATTATAACATGTTTTAGACATATGTCTACTCTAGCATGCTTCTTATTTTAGATTTAAAACTTTGAATTACATGTTAATAAGACAAGTTATATACATATGGTATAATTTTGAATATAATTATAAAAATTAATTTTTTAATCATTGTTGGTTTTTATTTTTTTTTAATTTTTAAAAAAAAGATTTATTTATTTATTTATACAAGCACTGGGTACAGTCAGAAGGGCAGGAGGGTGAGAGAATTCACCAGAGCCAGAGCGGGGAGCAGAACAGGCAGAAAGACGAAGTACACGGTTGAGGGGAGCAGCAGGCCCAGCAGGAGAGGTCTGCTGGCCATGTGGTACCCTCGCCGGTGGCCGGGGATAGAACCAATGCTGCAGAGGCTGCGGCAGCTTCGAAGGCCAGTGCTCAACCTCTGGCCACCAGGGGAGGCCCTCATTGCTGGTTTTTAAATCTCTCTCTCTTTTAATTGACCAAAAACACTGAATAATTTTTCATAAAATGTTACACATGTGGGGGAGAGAGTGGGTCTGGGAACAAAAGGGGTCAGGGGTCTATGGCAAAGAACACTGGGTGTGTGGTGATCTGTGTGGTGTGGTGACATATATCTGAGGTGCTTTAAACCTATTCCCCTAAATCACATGCAGAGTTGTAAGCCAATGTTACTTCAGTAAAAATAAATAAATAAATAAAAGCGGAAATAATATTAGAAATATTAGAAATCAAAAAACTAAGTAAAATGAAAACTACATATACTAAGTTTTACCTAGGAAGACTTACAATCAGTTATATGTTTAATAAATTAATCTCAAATATGTTTACATCAATTTACTTCAATTGGGGCTATTAGTTTTTTTTTTAGACATATGTCTATTAAGAAATACAAAATATAATTTAAGAAGTTTTAAGAATATCTAATGGACATAAAAGTGTATTTTTTTCTTTAAGGAGTACCGGTACTATAATTTGTTCCAAATAGATTGTATTCTATTATAAATTTTTTTTTTTTTAATTTTTTTTTTTTTTTAAGATTTATTTATTTATTTATACAAGCACTGGGTACAGTCAGAAGCGCGGGAGGGTGAGAGAATTCACCAGAGCCAGAGCGGGGAGCAGAGCAGGCAGAAGGACCGAAGGACACTGCTGAGGGGAGCAGCGGGCGGCAGGAGAGGTCTGCGCGCCATGTGGGATCCTCCTCTGGTGGCCGGGGAGCAGCCGGGGATCGAACCGGCGCTGCAGAGGCTGCGGGCAGCTTCGCAACCCAGCGCTCAACCACTGCGCCACCGGGGAGGCCCTCTATTATAAATTTTTAGCTAAATTATACTAAATATAATTAATCTAGAGAGGACAATAACACAGTAATGTTCAATTTGGTTAGCTTTGGAATTCTACTCACAACTCTCCCATCAATATCCAAGTAAATACAATGGAGAATTTCAACTTTGCAATTTGAAAAAAAAAATGTATTAAAACAATAACAATATTAAGCTAGGTTCAACTACAAACCTTTAAAATGTTTAATTTAATAAAGTAAAAAATGAAATGACATCAGCAGGAATATCTTGGTAGTCTACTCTGTAAGTTTTTCCTTTCCTGAAAGCCATCAACATTCATAAAAGTAGCAGCAATATAAACTAAAGGACTCTTTAAATAAAATTTCATAAGGTGACCTCCTGTAATAAGAGATGAAAAACAACAAAACAGTTCTTTTATGTTCTTATCAGTAAATACAAATGAAAGCCTACCTCACTTCAAATCCAAATAATACAATGTGTGCTACAATAAGGACACAGATTATATGTTCTAATTTTATCAAAATTATTCAAGGGCACGCTCCTGTAAAACTCAAATGTCATGGGTTTCACAATAGGGATTATGTACAGCTCTCCTACTGTAAAATTCATTTTTTTTTAGAAATAATTGATTAATATGTGATTTTTTAAAAATAAAAGTGATTCAGTTGCAAATAATGATTGCCACCATATACTCTATTTGAAAAGTAGAAAAAATTCAGATAATTTCACTGTTAGGAAAGCAATGTTTTGCCCACTAGCCATCTGCTCACCTATCTTGACCCCACTCTGCAAACCAGTTCAACCCCAGCACCTCCATCCTGTCTGGTCTCCACAGCTCATCTCTCCTTCCCTGATCTGGCCCTTTTAGCAGAGCTGTTTATTTCTTAGTGCTAATAGGAGGTACCATTTATAGAACACTTACTAAGTGTTTAATTCCTACCAAAACCCTGTTGGTAGATCCTGTTATGATCTATTGGTAGATCCTTGTTTTATAGATGACAAACTGAGGCTTAGAGCAGTTAAGCAACTTGCTAGGACCAGACTAGTAACTGACAAAGTCAGGATTTGAATCCATGGCTCTCCTGTTTCAGAATTTGTACCTTTAGCACATGGCTTCCCATTTAATTATTTATGATTATCCTTTTGTTGGTGAGGTCTGAAATTATACCAGATATCCTTTTCATATGGGGGGGGGGGCGGGATGGCTCTGTCATTTTATGGAAACAAAAATTTTGCTGAACCCTCACTTTAAAAGAACATTCAACTCTGCTGATTCAATATAATACTGTACCGTAAGAATAGGGAGACAACAGGGGCATCAAGCCAAAGATTAGCATCTTGGTGAGAGCAAGCACCATTCCATGTAAAGTTGGCATGGAAATATCCCTTGAGGAAAGGGCGGGCATTCAGTGGCCACACACTCCTTTTGCCCTTCTCTCTTCTACTCCTTCCTCCCCAGTGCCCCTCTCCACCCCCGCCCCCCGCCCCCAACATGCCTACCTTGTCAGGGAAGGGCATTCTAAAAAATATATATATATATATATATATATATATATATATATATATATATATATATCTCAAAAGAAAACATTATGCTCGGGTTTCAGGCTGCTCTGATCCCCACCTTCGACAGGGCTGCCAGTGGATGCTGCTTTCTAACAACTTGCCTTCAGCTTGACCTCGGGCGTGGGTCTAGAGGGGTTCTTCTATCCCCCTCTTTCCACCTGTTATTCACTCCGAGCAGGATGAGCCTTTTTACCTTAGTTGTTGGCAGAACTTTCCCGGATAGTTGGTTCGCCTGGCTCTTCCCGGCAGCTCGCAAACTCAGTCAGAAAGTCAGCTCACTCACCTGTCCCGGGGCACAGCCGCAGGCGGGAGGAGGGGCGGCGCGTGTCGGCAAGCCAGGCTCCCTCCTGCAGGGTTCCTCCTCGTGATCCTTAAGCCCAAGAAGCTGTTAATGATTACTCTGTGTCGTTCTGCAGGTAAGTGTTAGAAACCTGAGCCACTCCCTGCGCCTCAGTGCATGTTGGGAGTGTTTACTTTCTTTCTCAGAAGCAGCTGATAGGCATACTCTTTGCTCCCTGTCACACATCTTGAGTAAATTGACATTCTGATCAACAACCCACTCATTTGGGCTCATTCTAACCTCTGCTCTCTAGTTTATTCAAACTATGGAGAAATGGTCTAAAAGAGATGGCACCAACTAGGAGTGACTATCATTATCACCTGTTTCTTCTAATTTTTCTCTTTAGAAATTTAATTTTCTTTTCCTTGTTCTTTTGCCACCTCCTTTCCTCACAGCACCTTTTTACCCAAAGCAGATTCTCACAACTCAAGCTGCACCTAGGTACCCATACAACTTGCTAACCCCTTGAACCTGGCTCAGCACATGTATCTGACCTAGTAGGTCCGAAACAGATGGTGACCCCTGTATTCGTTTCATAAGCTCTACAGAAGAATCTGGTAGACATCAAATATGAAAATTGTTTTAATAAAGTATAAGAGAGGAAATGATAATAATTTAGCCACTGCCTACTAAACTGAATTTGTGAACTTTGAGTTCTTCAATACCTCCAATTTCAAAAAGACACTAAAGTCTAGTTGACTAGACTTACTTGGTGACCATTTGGTAATATGTATAAATATTAAAGCATGTTGTTCACCTGAAACTGTTGTATGCCAGATTTTACCTCAATTTTATGAAAAGGAATAGATAAAGGCATTGGACACAGTACAAAAGCAAAAACAAAACCCCCTTCTATGAAAACTATCAAAATGTCAAAACTTTTTTTTTAAAGATTTATTTTTATTTATTTATGCATACAAGAACTGCTGTGTAGGCCAGAGGTGTGGGGGGTAAGAGGATTCACTAGAGCCAGAGTGGGGAGCAGAACAGTCAGATCTACTGAGATACACTGCTGAGGGGAGCAGTGGGAAGGACCCAAGAGGTCTGTCATACCATGTGAATTAACTCCCTGGCCAGGGATCCTACCCATGCTGCAGTGGCTGGCAATAGCTTGAGAGTGTTGAGACTTTAACCCCTGCACCACCAGGGAGGCCCCCAAACTTTATCTTTATTTAAAATTAAATAATATCTGTACAAAAAAATGTATGGGGGACCCACTCAAGACTTAGAGACTCTCAGATGACATTATGTTGTAGAAATAGAAAGTGCTTTTATTGCACACATGCACACACATTGGTATTTCAGTAAAGTCGATTTCTGTTGTCTTCCATGTTCAAATGTCAAAGCAACAGACCATGTCACTTTCATTTATAGATTACCTGTTTGGTAGCGTATTTTAAGGATTCTATTTGTTCAAAAGGTCAGTTAACCTAGTTATCTCATGGTGTGTGATACTAGGTATCATTAGTGTTACCATTCTTTGTGCTATTTCCATAAACTGAAGAGAATCAGGCAAAGGAACTCATTGGATTACAATCAAAGCTTCCACAACCTCAGATATGAGGCCTGTGTGACTTAATGTTACTTGTAGTATTAATTTGCTTACCTGGTTGCCCTCCCCACCACCCCCACAGCCCGGCCCTGGTTTTGTGACTGCTGATATGGACTGACCTTTGAATGATGACTAACAGGACCTATAGTGTTTACAGCTCCTAGGCTCTGGGATTTCTTTTGAAATCCACACTTCACCCTCATTGTCTGCTATCTATGGAGATCATTTGTTTATTATCGGTATGGGGACAGCCTAGTTTTGCATTTATTTATCTGCTGCATTTTTGAAATCTTTATTTTGATGGCTGTTTCAACTGGTTTCTTTTCAAGGCTCAATGACTCCTTCTGTTTTTGAATCATTACCCTTTCATACATTTATAATTTGTATTTTGTTATATTTATTTTTCCCATGTGCCATGTGGAAAATTTGGTAAGTTCAGATCTGTAGAGGAATAAGAATTTGAAAAACAGACATGTAGAGGGAAAAAAATCACCTACACTTTCAACTCTCAAATATGGTTACTACAATTTGGTGAATGTCTTTATTGACAGTTTCTTTATGGATATTTACCAAAATGTTATTACATTTGACTTAATGTTTTATGACCTACTTTATCACATAAAACATATTATGAACTATTTCCCATATGTCAGTTTTTTCCCTGCAGTGTAATTTTGACTAGCTGCACTGTGTAAGAGCATATGGATATGTCATTACTTAATCAGTTCCTTATTGTGAGAAATTTATATGACTGTAAAAACACTGTAGTAAATATTTATAAATGACTACACACAGTCATGATTATGTCTTTTTGGTACTTCTCAAAAAATGAAGAAAAAAATTGTCAAGAAAAAAATTGTCCAAAAAAATCAAGAAAAAATTGTCAAATGAAGAGAATGTACATTTTAAAATAATTTCTCTCAAAAAATTATTAATTGTACACTCCTTGGATAGCTCCTGAATTCTCCTTCTTTTAAATAATTACCAATTTGAAAGATTAAAACACATTGGTTTAACTCTTAGCTCTGACAATTTGGGCAAATTAATTAATGTAACCTATATTATTGCATTCTTACTATGTCCCAGGTATTGTACTACTTCGGATGATATGATCGTGAACAAAGGTAGCTGTAATCCTTGATTTCATTAGGTTTCAGGATATCAAATAGGAGACAGACATTTTTTGAAGAGTGTTAGGGGGAAAGGATGTCCTGAGCTAATCCCACACAGGCTTTGTGGACTCCACCCCCACTCCAGACCAAAGCCATCAGGACATTGGGAAAGACAAATCCCATCACCACCAAAGGGAAGGTTGCTGGGATCTGAGGGTGGAGTTAAGCAGCCAGGTTTGGTATAAAACCAGACACATGGGTCTTGGGGGCTCTCCCCTCCTGGCTTCATGGCTCTTGGCTCTCCGCAAGCTCTCAGAGTGCCATTGGGCTTCCAGGTCGGGCGGAGAGGGGTCGGATGCATTTAAGACTTTATCTCCCTCTTTTCTCCCTGAGTTGTACCTTTCCTCATTTCCCCTTCCCTTGTAAATAAACCTTTTATTAACCTGTTGTGTGTGCCTGCAGTGGAGTATTAATAAGTCCCTTTTAAGTGCGCGGGTGAGGACCCACAGCCAAGCAGCCTGTTTTATATCGGGGCTGCCCTGTAACAAGAGGATACTAATGAATATATAATTACAAAGCGAGCTAAGTTCTAAATTGTACTGTAAGTTAGTGGGGTGGGAAGAGCATTATAATTAGAAGGAATAGCATGTGCAAAAAGATCTATGACAGGAAGGAGCAGGGAAATTTAAAGACTGATTAAAATTCAGTATATTTTGATTGAAGGCTGGGAGAGAAAAAAATGCAAGATGCCTCAATTTCCTTTTCTGTAAACTTCAAGAAAAAAAAAATATATATATACAGGGTTGGTTACCTTATGGATAATTGATACTGTTATAGGACAGGGAGAGGGACAGCCCAAACCCCACAAACCTGCCTATTCTAAATGGGTTCTGCCATCTACCGCATCAACACAAAACATAGGAGACTTTAATGGGAAGGAACTTTAATAAAACTAGGAAACAATACAGGTAAGGCAAAGAGTCTAGTTTCTAAATGAAGCACCCAAAGTTACCCATCCCCTCGTGGGTAAAAGTCCATCCACATGGGAATGGCGCAGAGCAAGGCCCCAAAGCCTGCCACAAGTCTAAAGCATCTTCCAGTGGGAACCCACCGAAAATGGTCAGAAACAACCAGACAAGCCCGGAAGGAAAAGAGCAAAATCAAAATCAAGATAAAAGCTGCCATTGTCACCTCCCCATGGGTCTCACCCACATCTGTGTCACCCAGTCCACGACCAAAAGACAAGCGCAGTTTCTTCACGTGTCTCTAGGCTCCATGTGCCTCCTCCAGGTCTCCTGGCTCCATCCTGCTTCCTTCCTCAGTCTCTTCTGCTGCTTCTCCTCTCCCTGCTCAGCTCCACCCTCCCTTGGGTGGGCAGGGAACCTCCCCCTTTCCTGGGGACCACCCTGTTACAATAACACATAATATTGTCTAACCAATGAGTGTAGTCACTCATTAAATGGTGACCACAATTATATTAAACAATTGCTGCAGAAGTAAAGACATTACTTGAATTACATGTCAGATTTACCTTCTTTTTACCATTATAATCATGTTGGGGGCAGACAAATAAGCCTCCATCCCTGCCATTCCCCCGCAGACCTTTTCCTTTAGGGAGGGACTGGGGTTGTTTTCTTTTGATCTTGGAGTAGGTATGTTGTAGAGCAACCCCGATACTAATGGACTATTTTCAAGTAATGAAAAACTGTCATACTGGACATTCATGGACAATGCTGCTGACTAATTGTTGCTTCTCTTACACACATTGTAACCCTAAAAAAAGACTGTCTCCCAAGACTACACCCTAACATTTGTGCCACCATAGATATGGTGGAATAAAAATTAAAAGGGGGGATTGCAACAGGGTGGTCCCCAGGAAAGGGGGAGGTTCCCTGCCCCACCCAAGGGAGGGTGGAGCTGAGCAGGAAGGGGAGAAGCTGAAGAAGAGACTAAGGAAGGAAGCAGGATGGAGCCTGGAGACCTGGAGGAGGCGCATGGAGCCTAGAGACACGTAAAGAAACTGCGCTTGTCTTTTGGTCGTGGACTGGGTGACACAGATGTGGGTGAGACCCATGGGGAGGTGACAATGGCAGCTTTTATCTTAATGTTGATTTTGCTCTTTTCCTTCCGGGCTTGTCTGGTTGTTTGTGACCCTTTTCTGTGGGTCCCCACTGGAAGATGCTTTAGACTTGTAGCAGGCTTTGGGGCCTTGTTCTGGGCCGATCCCATATGGATGGACTTTTACCCACGAGGGGACGGGTAACTTTGGGTGCTTCATTTAGAAACTAGACTCTTTGCCTTACCTGTATTGTTTCCTAGTTTTATTAAAGATCCTTTCCATTAGTCTCATGTGTTTTGTGTTGATGCGGCGGATGGCAGAACCCATTTAGAATAGGCAGGTTTGCGGGGTTTGGGC